TTACTACACCCCTGAGCTGGCAGACGCCAATGTTGCCCCTCAGTCCGGTCTATACGACCCATGACGCCAGGGGGGGGCCCATTTAGTCGCTGGCTAGTCACCGCCTGCCATTTTTTCAGTCAGAGACTATGAACCAGGCAGGTGTCCCGTAGTCTCCATCCATAGCCCAGTAACCAGTCCATCCATCCTTCATCCATAACCCTAGTCCATTCTCCAATAACTGCAATAGCTCCTGTGCACAGGCTGGGGATGGTCTCTGGCTACATCCCATAATATAGTCAGAGACTAGATCCAGTATGTGCACCACTTTCACTTTTGTCGATTATTTTGCGTTTAAAACGGCCTCTACGTGTTGGATTTGTATCCCCACGCAAGCCTTATAAAGGACCGGGCCACTTTTGACCCGTGAGCTCCAAAGCGTACAAATAATAATAATAATAAATATCCTTGGACATTTTACACTGCGCTTCTAGTCCCAAACTAAGCAAAGCTTGTACTATGGATACTAGAAAACGGATATAAACATACTTAAAAACTTTTTTTTATAAATACATACTTATTATACATAGAAAACACCCAGTCCAATACAAACAAATATGTTCATGCACACAAATGTTTGTACTGAGCGGGAATCGAACCCGCTACCTCCGGCCTAAACTACACCAAACGGCCGACTGTAATTTATGATTATAATAAGACTAGTACTTTGTGTTCTTTCTACGGTACAATATAGGTAGAACAAACTTACCTGACACCGCCCATCTATGCACATGTCCAGGCTGCCTGGTCTGCATCTGGTGCCGTCGGACACCCTCGCTGCCAGCACAGCCACCACCACGCGGTCTTCTTCGTCCAGTGACACCGTCTGGGGAAAGACATGAAAGATACAGGCTATCCAAGTAGTCATCCTAAATCCTATTTTCCATGTCTTTTTCTCGAGAAGCCATTAAGGCTTCATGGATAAGGCCAGACAGAAAATGACCTTATAGTTGATTAGTACATTCTGAAAAAATCTGGGATCTAAATCAAACTCTGAAAAATTATCTATGAAGGCGATCCGTTGGATGTTTTTTTGCACAATTTTTATTTTATAACAGAGGCGGAACAAATAAAATAAACGAAGCTTACTCAAGGATGGAAACACAAACAAATCAAACTTACCGGCTCAATACTCTGCCCAGAATGCTGAGGAGTGCCTCTGCAAGTCAACGCGCAGGGTTCAGCATCATCTCTATGAGCTGTCCAATGGAACAGTTCTCCACCATACGGGGTGCTATCATGGGCACTGCACTGCTGTTCTCGCCAGATGTCTTCTTCAAGGAGGGATATGTTGCCACGGCATGGCTGCGGAAGAAATTCTTGGTAAGTATCACGTAAAGTAGTAAGCGACTGCCCGCAGAATTGCTAAAATCAAGTGGCAGTGGGCTCGCAGAGCTGATCGCCGCTGGGGCAGAAAAGTTCTCGAATGGGCCGGAAGGGTAGTGTGGGTAGGCCCCCCACTAGGTGGATTGACGATCTGTTAAGGGTCGCGGGAGGTGCCTGGATGCGGGGCGGCGCAGGACCGGTCGTTTTGGAAAGCCTTGGGGGAGGCCTTTGCTCAGCATTGGACGTCATTTGGCTGAAACGAAATTCTATGTATTCTAACGTAGAACGCAATTCCGATCCGCAAGTTACGCTTGATGTAAAACGCTATTTGAAAATTATTGTTACGCTTGATGTAATGTTGGATAAAAATCGAAACTGGACTAAAATACTATATTACTATACTACACCTTGGTTAGTGTCGTTAGTGAAATGGAATACTCGTATCTCATTTTATGAACCAAATAAACAATTTTTGTTTCTTTTTTTTAAAAGAGAATAGAGAATCTGTAATACACAAAGACCTATTTTTTTCCGGTAGCTTCACCTGTACAGAATTCGGTCTGCAACAAGTTGACACATTTAATTCTCTTAAGTTATAAGGCGCAAAAATATAATTTCTAATAATACCTCCAAACTCGCAAATGTCTTGCAGAACTCTACCTCTGATTATTTACTTTTATGTCAGCGTGGTTATTCAATTNCACCATCGTTATGGTTATGTGGTTATCTAAACGATTCGACATTTCCAACTCAATATGATATTCTGTGGAAATCTGTAATTAGCTGTAAGTTTTATTCAATACTAATGTATAATATTACCATAATGTATCGCCGTTGATTTCCCAAATAAATAAAATAAATAAAAATAAGTATAGCCTCTCCCTTTTTTTAGGTAGTTAGGGAAGGGTCGCACTTCCAAAAGATAAACCTATACTACCTACTTAATAATCTGATGATGACAATCTGCTGAATTTTGGGGGAAGAAAATCGGATTGGTGAAATGTATTTTAATGTCCAAATAAGTTAAATCTATTTTATCATTTGAATTGTTGGACCACCGTTCAAGTTTGCAAAATCTTCTAAGAGATATTTTTTTAAATTCACAATATTATGCCTTATCATCATTACAAACACCTCTGGTGCGCTTCTTCTTATCAAGAACTAGCTGCGCCCTAATGTTATAGCCCAGCCGTCCTCGATAATGAACACAAATATTGTCGTTTCAGTCAAATGACGTCCACTGCTGGACAAAGGCCTCACCCAAGGATTTTCACAACGACCGGTCCTGCGCTTCACTAACACTAATATAATTTTTCAAATCAGACCTTTAGTTCCTTAAATTCAATTGCGCGTTCAAGCAAACAAAAACCTCTTCAGCTTTTATTAGTAAAGTACGAGTATAGGTACAGTCACGGAATGAAAAGGTTCGTCAGTTTTCAAATTGATTCCTTCAACGAATCGCGAGCACATATTACCTTTTGAAACTATGTTACAGAATAATCTCGAGTTAGAGATAATAGAGTTATATGTGCCGTGTGGTGACGGCAGAGTAGAATACATTTGTCACCAACCCCTACTCTTCCCGCGGGTGTCGCAAGAGGCGACTTAGGGACTACACATCAAACAGAGAACGGGCAGCAGCGCTCTCTGAAAAACATCAATCTTTTAAACTGCGATCTCCAACCCGCCTGCCAAGCGTGGGGATTATGGCAAAACCCTCCACTATAGTGGAGGAGGCTCATAGTCCAGCAGTGGACTGTAAAGGGCTGTTGATGATGATGAGAGAAAATATCTTTAACTGTTCGATAAAGAATTGAGTATTGAGTATTGAGTTCGTCAGTAAAGTTCAAAATTATTCAGAACAAAGTTGTTTGACGATTTATCTTGTCAAGAAGATTATTATGATTGATAAACTAAAACCTTCTTGTTGGTTCAACCTGCCATTATTATTTCTTATAAAATAAAAAAAACTATTGTCAATTGGTCAATGTCATCATTGCATTGCACTGATGGGATAGAAAAATAAACAAGCAAAACCTTATTGGTTAGCAAACGTCATATTTATTTAAATGTTAGCAGCACTGTTTCTTGCACTGTTATGTTGGCAGGTTTGACTCTTACAGTACCTAGTGCTAGCGAAAACCGACACTAAGGTGACGAACCTTTTCATTCCGCGACTGTACACCAAATGTTCTTCGAACTTCCCCGTCAGTGTGTCCCAAAATCTCTTTAGTAGAATCCTCCGAATAGGTTTGAAAAGACAGGGAGTGCCGGTAAACCGGCAAATTAATGTTCGGCAATGATAATTCGAAATCGAACTCTCGAGCGATGGAACGTGTACTCCAGTTTATTTTGTATTGTGAACGCCTTTTGAATTGAGTAAAGATATCGTCGAAGATGGAATGGAGGCCGCGTACCGGAAAACGCAGCGTGGGACCTCCACTTACAAGGTGGACCGACGACCTGATAAAGGTAGCAGGAAGGCGCTGGATGCAGGCCGCTACCAACCGTGCGATGTGGAAGTCATTGGGGGAGGCCTATGTTCAGCAGTGGACGTCCTATGGCTGAAATGATGATGATGTTGATGATAAAATATACTTAACGTTAATTTATCAAAGTAGCATTAATCCGCAGCTTCGCCCGTGTGAATTTTGATCTGTCACAGAAAGACTAGGTCATACACACTTTTCATCTTCTCATAAATAAACATCTGATGATGTAACTATATTGAATCAAAAATTTTATTGAAAATTGATATTCCTTGCTACTCGTACTTTTAGTCGAATCTCTTATTCAGACGAAAATAAATATTTTACTCATAATTCTTAACGATTTCTACTTAATTATTACTTAAGTAGAATTTTGTAGAAAAACAGCACTAAAAGTAACTTATTTATAATAATGAGCTTATGCGATTGATTTTCAAATATGAAACATTATTTCACTTTGACATCAAATTATTAATGTTCCCAAATCAATAGGACTGTACAAGTTATTGGTTTACAAGCTATATAAGTGCATATCAAAGGTAGTGTATGTTAGTTGAAACGATATTAAAGTTTAACTAAATAATTAACTAAGCTCGCTATTAAAATAAGTATTATGTTCAACTTTCGTATAAACTATATTATATTTTTATACTTTGCAATTCTCTTGGCCTCTAAAAGTAAAACAGTAAAATAGAAAGCAGGCGCCAAAAGTCATAAAAGTAAAACTTATACATTATATCCTATATTCTGGATGATAAATGTGTCTATCCTTGAACTTTACTGCGTCAACATAAGACTCAAAATCGAGTGGCAATTTTTTTAAAGACGTTAGATTGAATGACAAAGTTTTATTGGGCGCGTGTCAGACCGAAAAGAGCTTTTTAGTGTTCGATATTGTAAGAATTACTTTCCCGGAATGTTACATTATGTTCTATTGTTTGGCAGTTGTAACTTTTTGAGTGAAAAGTCCTAGATTTGATTCCCAGTGGAATGATGAACACATACAGTTATTCTATTTTATCCAGTCTATATGTAGTTCGTTAGGTAGCTGTTTTTGCAGACTTCAATTTGTCTAATTGGAATCACGAGGAAAACACGGGAAGTACCTACAGTTGTTGCAATTCACGAAGACGAGTGAGCTTTGGCTCGCTACTGTTCGTTTTTCATAGGATTTGATAGACATTATTACACTATCGTTATGTACATTTACACGTACACACACAAGTAAAGGTCATTCGCCTTCGTGAGTTGCAAGAAGTGTACTCGATCATTAAAAATTATGTGAAAATATTTTATAGAACTGACGACACTACGATGAATTTCGTAGAGCTTTGCTACGCGCTACGACCGTAGTGATGCTCGTAGCAGTACAAACTACGAGACATTGATACCGAAAAAATGTAAGTATTTGATTTTGAATGGTTTGATTTGTCATGTTGTATTTTTTAATAATATTATTATTTTCTATGTTAAAATATTATTTTGAAGTGACAATAGCCAACTAGACGTATACTACAAGTGCTAGGAGTCTTAAATTTGACATGGGGGTTCCTTTTAGAACGCAGGAGCTCACTAAGACGGGATTTTGTTAAATTTAACCCCTTAGGGGGGCGGTAGTTACTAATCTATCTATCTGTCTATGTCAGCCTTTGGGTTCGCCTTCGAACATAGGCCTCCTCTTCAACCCTCCACCGACTTCTGTCCCTGGCCACACGTATCCAGTTCACTGCAGCCTGCTGCCGGATATCGTCCGTCCATCGTTTAGGCGGTCTTCCCCCCGCGGGTGTTGGAAATGGGCAGGGCACATTGCACGGATGAACCAGGATCGCTGGGTCAGAAAGACCCTGGAGTGGAGACCCCGCAACAACACCCGCGGCAGTAACTTATATTAACGGTAACGGTGTAACAGTCGTCCAAGCCAGCCCAAAATGGTTCAATACTTACCCGTGTCAATACTTATATAAATCCGACAGCCTTGATTCAATTTGTCTAGGTACCTATTCAAATCCATTCGCTTTTCTTTTGTTTAGTAAACTACATACGGATTTCTTTTGCCACAAAATAACAGAGAACAGACATCTTTTTGAGTAAAATAAAGCCAGAGCAGAGTTAATTTGAATGTGGTGTCTTTTGTAATAATTTGGTACTTAATATGTAATTAAGAGGCGGAGGACCTACAGGGCTCCTATTGTAAACTGTTGCGAGCTCAAAACCTGCAGAGGATATAAATAAGAACGAAGAATGTATTAAAGTTTTCTCCATTTTTTTAATTTAATCACCTTTTTACTATTCAAAGTTCTAATTAGTTTTGGGGTAAACTTATTGGCGTGACAGTTAGAAAAAGATCATTAGAGTGATTTAGGTTTATGAAAAAAAGGAATTTTCAACACTGCAGAAATAACTGCAGAGTAAATAAAAATACTGACCACAATCCAAAATGACTTCCTGAACATATTAAGCAAACAAAGAGTGAGTGTTATTAGTACAATAAACCCTCGTTTTTATGGTGTTTTCATAAAACACCATGATGTGCAAGCAGTTTCGGCATTTACCCGGCATTTTTGCGATGTACCCGCAAAATAGTTTACTCAGATCCGAGACCGTAACTAACTATAGTATACTGCTTTATGTTGTTGTTACAGTCATTATTATGTAGTGCATATGATAAACTTGCCAGGATTATAAAATAATATATAGGTCGCGCAACGAAAGTTGAGGCTATCAACACAAGCAATGATTTTTATTTATACAGGGTGGAAACGTTAAGTGATCTCACTTGATTATTTCTAAACTATACAAGATATCGAAAAACTGGTGACTGATCCTGAAAGTGCTTCACGAGCTCTATCCAACGGTACCAATAATAGGTTACAAAATTAACTGGATCTATCCTAAAATTCAGTGTTTCCAGCTTCCATACATTTAGTACAGCCACAGTCATGGCACTCGTGTCTTGATAATCGCGATTACGGCGCGATCAAAGGCCAATGACAAGTCGCGTGAACTGTCATAGGCATAGCTGGGCACCGTTAATCAAATAGTTAACTTCGTTAATCGTTAAACCGTTACTAAAAAAATTAACTTCGTTAAACGTTAAAACGTTACATTTCGAAAGATTTAACGCAAGTTAACGTTAATCGTTAATCCGTTAACACGTGATAATAAAACGAAAAAAATAATTGTATGCAAGGTTCAAATACACTCAGCGGCACGGAATTTGGCCCAAGCCTAAACAACCAGATATGAGGCCAAATAGGTGTCGTATACCTAAGTTTCGTGTGACATGTTAACAGAACATTTGTTTTTGTTAATTTAAGAGGCTAGATTAATAAAAAAGTTCGTCTGTTTAACTTTTTTGACTCTAGAAACGCATTTCGTTGTTGGAGCGTAAAGATTACGGGTAAGTTTAAATTCGATATTAAATGTTGTAAGGGTTTGGTGTTTTGTTTTTTGTTTTTAAATTAATCTTAGGGTTATTCTCGATTCCATAATTTGAGAATAATGCCCATTACTCCAGCTCAAGTTGCTCAAATAGTGTTGCTTAGAAGTCAAGTGCGTATGTAGCGGGAGATGGCTGAAACTTTCAATTTATGGCGTACAAACTTAAGATACACGTTAAAAAGGCATGACCAGACCGCCATTTACACAAGAAGACCAAGAAGTGGGGAATTAAGGTGTATGTCAGCGCGCGATGACCCGATTATCGTGCTTGCAATATCAAGAAATCCGGTTCTCACTACGTTTGAGATACGCCAGCGTTTAGAAACAGCAAGCCCAGTGAATATCAGTGAGCACACAATAAGAAGAAGGATGGAGGATCATAACCTGCATACTCGAAGACCAGCTCGAGGACCAGAACTTCTCCGATACCTTCGCGAAGTGCGACTGACGTTTTCTAGAGAACATGCAAATTGGACGCAAGGCTTCCGAAATTATTTGAACCTTGCATAAGTAGGTACAATTATTTTTTCGTTTTAGGACAACTGCATTTCAGAATAAAAGCTTGTTTTTAAAAAGTTTTTTTTATTATAATTTTATTTTACACTTTTTAGTTGTATCTCAACTCAATCTCAGAGCCTTGGTACAATTACAATACAATTTAGCACCAAAGTGCTCGAAAAGACCAATCCAACAAACCCAAACTCGATAAGTTTCCACCGTTTCGTTAAGGAATTCCTATGGCCACCTCCTGACTCCATCATTAGACTAGCTCAATGGTACCATAACACTGCATTGTCATCGTACTTACATAAGTATACCAAATTTCAGCTCAATCGGTTGAGGAGAACTGGTCTTAAATTCAGTTGTAAATAAATTTAAAAAAAAAAACATTTTTTATATCGTTGCGTTAGTGATCAGTAGGCCTAAGATGCGCACCGTGATAACTTTTATCGACGTCAATTTGTATGGGCAAAATCGATAAAATGGCGTGATAACCGCCTATCACGATGCTCATCTTAGGCCTACTGGTTACAAAAACTGTTGTTTTGGGTTCTGGAAGTTCTGGAAGCCCGAACGTACTTGTCAGAATGCGTTTTTCAGCGTGCCTGCTGTATCTTTTTGGTAAATAGTAGGTACTGGATTAACGATTAACGGACTTAGAATAATTTAACGGAAGTTAACGAGTCCGTTAACATTTTTTAAAGTTAACTTAAAAGTTAATCCGTTAATGGAAATGTTAACTTCGTTAATTAACGATTAACGGATTAACGAGTTAATGCCCAGCTATGGTCATAGGTCGCGCGATGTGTCGTTGGCCTTTGATCGTGCCAGCGATGGCGATCTGCATGCGTTGGTGTGGTTGAAGCTTTAATGCGCTGCAAAATTACGAATCCCTTATGAAATAATACCCAACAGAACAGTTATTATAAAACGAAATTGGTCCATTCACATTCCGCTAAAACAACAATCAACTAAATGTTTCCATATTGCTCTGGCTCAACTAAAACAATTACCATGGAAACTTTTGTATTACACCACACATTGTGCACACGATTTTCAGCTTTAATGCATCGACTTACCGGCCAAGGATTTTCATGGGATACGGGAGCTTTGGAATGCATTTAATTCTAAACTTTACATCTGTACATTTAGAGACGAAACAATTTTCAGGATCATGGAATTCTACACATTCCAAAAGGCGTCGGTTGCCGCTGTTGTAGTTATGAAAGGATTGCACTGAAAAGCGGTTTACCTTGCATTTATATACGGGGTGATTGCTCTTTTGTTAACCGACAATAAAAGTGAGGAAATGTTTTTAAATTTATGAGTGAATGTTATTCAATTAATATTGAGTTACAATAAAGTACTCGTAATAATTACATGCATTATGTATTATTAGTTAAATAAGTTCTCGAAAAATGTAAAAGGGTTTTTCTTGAAGAATTAAATCTAATATGATTTTTGCCCATCTTTCCATTACAAATGTTGGTCTCGAAGCGCTGGTAGGGTAAAAAGATTATGAGACATGTAGAGGCTCCTTAAGAGCAAAGTGACGATTTGTAAGAACTATTTATTAGTCTAAACAAATAAAGAAATTTTGACTTTGACTTTGACTAATCGATTATGCAAAGTATTTCAGAGAATGTTTGTTTTATGTTTTTTATGTGACAAATGATTATGATGATGATGACTATTTATTTTCTGCATACTTTTGCCACAAGTTATAGATTATTATTTGAAGTACTCGTATCTCAAACATAAGTTCCATCCTAGGTTCCATCTTTCGAAAGATAAGTCAAAATTGCATTCTTCAATGGCTCCCATAATAACGGAGTCCTATTTCTTTAGTTTTCCTTAAAACGTCCGACTGTGTCAGAGCGAGGAACGGACGCTTTCTAAATTACTCCATTATTTCCAGATTAATTTCCAGGTCGCCTGGAAGCCGGTCTGAATTCTTAAACTATATTACATTTTATAATACCCCTTACAAAGTATTCGCACGAACCGTCGCGTGATTTTTTTATTTGGTGAAGAAAGAAATAGGATTTTCTTGCAAAGTTTTACCACAGTTCTACTTTATAATTATTACTTCATTTATTCATTGCATCATGTAATATTATTGGAAGTAACTCTTGATGCAAACAGCGTTTGCTCCTGTATCATAATACTATCATTTACCATGTCAAACATTGGACAAACCTTAACGGTAACAGTGTGACGTGATTTTGCGGCACTAATCATCTTATTCAAAGACAAATAAATATTTCTATTTCTATTTCTATTGCTATTCTTGGATAAGCAGTATCTACTTGTTAGCTTGGTTGCTAAAGAAGCTCTTTAATATAGGGTTGATAAGTGGACTAATTTTTTTTTGCAATGCGGCAAAAAAATTACCCTGCACTGCTCCTTTCTGCAGTACAGCACAATGTAGGTAGAATATTGAAGTCTTACCTGACACCGCCCATCTATGCACATGTCCAGGCTGCCTGGTCTGCATCTGGTGCCGTCGGACACCCTCGCTGCCAGCACAGCCACCACCACTCGGTCTTCTTCGTCCAGTGACACCGTCTGGGGAAAGACATGAAAGATACAGGCTATCCAAGTAGTCATCCTAAATCCTAATTTCCATGCCCTGCAGGGCATCTTTTCTTGAGAAGCCATTAAGGCTTTATTTATAAGGATAAGGCCTATAATTACCTTACAGTTGATTAGTACTTTCTGAAAAAATCTGGGATCCAAATCAAACTCTGAAAAATTATCTATGATGGCGATCTGTTGGATCTTTTTTCCACATTTTTTATTTTATAACATAGGCGGAACAAATAAAATAAACGAAGCTTACTCAAGGATGGAAACACAAACAAATCAAAACTTACCGGCTCAATACTCTGCCCAGAATGCTGAGGAGTGCCTCTGCAAGTCAACGCGCAGGGTTCAGCATCATCTCTATGAGCTGTCCAATGGAACAGTTCTCCACCATACGGGGTGCTATCATGGGCACTGCACTGCTGTTCTCGCCAGATGTCTTCTTCAAGGAGGGATATGTTGCCACGGCATGGCTGCGGAAGAAATTCTTGGTAAGTATCACGTAAAGTAGTAAGCGACATAGCCAGCAGAATTGCTAAAATCCAGTGGCACATAGCTCGCAGAGCTGATCGCCGCTGGGGCAGAAAAGTTCTCGAATGGGCCGGAAGACGTAGTGTGGGCAGACTCCCCACTGGGTGGACCGACGATCTGATGAGGGTCGCGGTAGATCCCTGGATGCGGGCGGCGCAGGACCGGTCATTGTGGAAATCCATGGGGGAGGCCTTTGTCCAGCAGTGGACGTCATTTGGTTGAAACGTAACACTATTTCTATTTGAAGATCATTTGTTACGCTTGATGTGATGTTGGAAAATCAAAACTGATCTAGAAGACTAATCATTTATGTAGCACTTTGATTTGTGAAATGTAAAAGTCAATTGCAAAATCCAGTATAATCGCCATGAATATTATCTCATTTTATGAGCCAAATGAAATTTTTCTTTTCTTTTTTGTAAAGAGAATAGAGGACCTTTATTGCATAAAGAACTAATTTTTGCTGATAGCTTCTCCTATAGATTTCGGTCTGTAATAAGTTATAAGAGTATTCACAAAAGATGCTTGCTTATGTGAAGCAACAAATCGAACGCACAGAATTGAATAGAGCTCTTTGATTGGTTCATGTGTCACTCTGTGCGTTCACGCGCACTGTGAGACCTCGTAGTAATGTTTGTGAATACGGGCATTAAAAAAGTAGTAAAAGTAGGGCGGAAGACTCTAATTATTTTATGATCTCTACTTAGAAACAAAATAGCTTCGTACATCAGCGTTTCAGCTCGCAAAAAAACTTGCAAAACTCTACCTCTGATTATTTACTTTTATGTCAGCGTATTCAATTCTCTGTTGTCAATAACATCGGTATTCCAAAACATGCCTTCATTAATACGAGTATATCCTTTAATATGAGAAAATCAGGAGTTTCGCACAATCCCCTTATAATGATGTGAAATGTCAGTATTACACAATACATTTCGGAGTTCGATATCATTAATGGGGCAGGTTTTATGCCCTTTGAGGCACGAGTACCGTTTCGATGCCAACAATGTGTTATTGATACTTTTTCCTGTACAGATCCGTAATTATTACGAGTGTCTGTACGTTGATTTTCCGTTTCGGGGTATGCACATCAAAGTGGGAAATGTCTTTCTTGGAAGCCAGAAATAATGTAGGTGGTACTTGTAAGTAAGCGTCTTAGTTATAAGAAAAGATTCCTTTTCCTTTCCAGCAAGATTGTCCATATTACGAAACAGTGGATTAAAAAGTACCTATAACTAAACATTTATAGCACTTATGTTATTGGGTATATCAGCGTCTTCCCATAACTTGAAATTGTAGCCATGTTTTTGTTTCTTAGCTCAGACACAAGAGTAATATCCTACTCTACCTTTAAGTTAAAACTTGACCTTTGAAAGACCATTGGTTGAGTTTTTATTAGCGGTCAAGCTGTAGATCCTGGCTACACAGGAGTTGCAGGGGTGGGAACGAGAGGTGGGAATAGTCCCGTTTAAGTTAAACCACTTCAAAGTAAAAGTTTTCACACCATCTCCATTCACTCCATAAATGTTACAGAAAATAAAACTACCCACAATTCCAAGATTTCAAACAAGACCAAACTTTTTACGGCACCGATCCAAAACTTCGTCTTGTAAGACGTAGATTTCAAATCAAATATATTCATGAACTATTTCCCTGAACAAATACAAAATAAAACACTTCTTTCTTGAGACAATTGGTCGACCAAGTTATTCAAATTCAGAGAAAAGAGAGTTACCACTTATGAGTTTAATCGCCTCCGAGAAAGGGGGTAGGGGAATGTGAGAGGAATGACAATGAGACTAGTGATGGTACTATTTTGTATCGATAGACTTTAAAAATCTGGAGGACTATCGATTTTATCGTAAGTAGTTATTGATGATATTATGATTCATTGACTTATTAGAATATACTTATGCCCTGCCGGTAATCATCTAGAAATGTGTCTTGTATAATAATTGGGAGATCTGATAAAAAAAAAGAGAGTAAGCACTTTGCTCCTGAATTTTTAAGATGCATCCAAAAATACATAACCAATCACATAATCATGCTGGAAGATGACCTTTTGGCCCGATTTCCACCAAAGCGAAGCTGAGCACAGCGGAGAATGTTGGCCGAGAATAGAATTTGATAGCGGTGGCGATGCGGCATAGAGCGGATCTGTGCGGAGCGGAGACGAGAAGTGGAAATAATAAAATCTGATTAGTTATTGAAAATATTTCTACGGAAACCGAGCCTTAGACAAGATTAAACGTTACGACGATTGCTAAAAAACAATGATAGCTGCATATCGACTTCCCACCTATCGATAGTTACACATCACTAAATCGGTTCCTTTCTTAGAACATAGAGGGTGTATACCTCGATTTGTGTTCAAATCTCTCGATAAAGTCTGTTTAGAGTTGGGTAAGTGGGTGATATATTGAGGCAATTGTAAGCGAATATGAATGACTTTTGAATCAGGTATTCCTAAAGCTCAAACCAGTATTTTGTTATTCAAGCCTTTTTACAGATAATTGTTGGGATGTTTATTTATCGAAGGTTTAAGACCTGCAAGTAAAATACTGTTTTACCTTGTAAATTAGCAGTAAGTATAGTGCAAAAAACCAAATAGGTAGCAGGAAGGCGCTGGACGCAGGCCGCTACCAACCGGGCAACATGGAGAGCATTGGGGGAGGCATATTTTATGTTTAGCAGTGGACGTCTTATGGCTGAGATGATGATGACGACTGAGGCAGTAAATTATTTCATATGAAAAAATATAATCTTTCTTTCTTATTCAGAGAATTAGACACTAGGGNAGATTGTCCATATTACGAAACAGTGGATTAAAAAGTACCTATCATTAAACAACATATAACACCTATGTTATTGGGTATATCAGCGTCTTCCCATATTATTAACTTGAAATTGCAGCCATGTTTTTGTGTAATAGCTCAGAGAGAAGAGTAATATCCTAGTACTATCCAACTCTACCTTTAAGTTAAAACTTGACCTTCATTGGTTGAGTTTTTAATGGCGGTCAAGCTATAGATCCTGGCTACACAGAAGTTGCAGGGGTGGGAACGAGAGGTGGGAATAGTCCCGTTTAAGTTAAACCACTTCAAAGTAAAAGTTTTCACACCATCTCCATTCACTCCATAAACGTTACAGAAAATATAACTACCCACAGTTCCAAGATTTCAAACAAGACCAAACTTTTTACGGCACTGATCTAAAACTTCGTCTTGTAAGACGTAGATTTCAAATGTAATTTCAAATCAAATATATTCATGAACTATTTCCCTGAACAAATAAAAAATAAAACACTTCTTTCTTGAGACAATTGTCCGACCAAGTTATTCAAATTCAGAGAAAAGAGAGTTACCACTTATGAGTTTAATCGCCTCCGAGAAAGGGGGTAGGGGGATGTGAGAGGAATGACAATGAGACTTATAGTATCGACATGATATTTTGGTACTAGCTATGGCTTATAAAATTGTTATTCACGATTTATATTAGACCGGGTTCAACTAATTTTGGGTACATATTTGATACCTTTCGTGAAATAATTAAAAAAAAAATCCTATCCTAATAATATCTTAGTATAGTGCCTTAGCGCTTTTACTCTCTAATTCTTACAAAGCACCTAAAAAGTTCATTAAAATATTAAACAAAATACACAGATAAGTTAGTTCCCTAACCAATAACATTAAAAAGCTTCGTTGGCGTTATTGTAAGGTACAATAATAGTTCCCTAAAACGTAGTTGTTGAACATCGATATTAAACTTGTCGATAGTCACACATCACTAAATCGGTTCCTTTCTTAGAACATAGAGGGCGTATACCTCGATTTGTGTTCAAATCTCTCGATAAAGTCTGTTTAGAGTTGGGTAAGTGGGTGATATATTGAGGCAATTGTAAGCGAATATGAATGACTTTTGAATCAGGTATTCCTAAAGCTCAAACCAGTATTTTGTTATTCAAGCCTTTCTACAGTTAGTTGTTGGGATGTTTATTTATCGAAGGTTTAAGACCTGCAAGTAAAATACTGTTATACCTTGTAAATTAGCAGTAAGTATAATGCAAAAGACCAAATAGGTAGCAGGACGGCGCTGGACGCAGGCCGCTTCCAACCGGGCAACGTGGAAAGCCTATGGGACAGGCCTATGTTTAGCAGTGGACGTCTTATGGCTGAGATGATGATGAAGACTGAGGCAGTAAATTATTTCATTTGAAAAAATATAATCTTTACTTTCTTATTCAGAGAATACGACACAGTTTCCTAGTCTTCTCCCGGATTGGATTCCCATTGAAATCACTTTTATTTTCACTATCTGGTACGAAACCTCCTTGTATTGTCAACAATATTTACGAAGTACCTAAATGAGTAAAGTGACTGACATAGCCCGCAGAATCGCTAAAATCAAGTGGCAGTGGGCGGGGCACATAGCTTGTAGAGCTGATGGCTGCTGGGGCAGGAAAGTTCTCAAGTGGCGACCACGAGCTGGAAGACGTAGTGTGGGTAGGCCTCCCACTAGGTGGATCAACGATCTGGTGAAGGTCGCGGGAGGTACCTGGATGCGGGTGGCACAGGACCTGTCTTTGTGGAAAACCCTGAGGGAGGCCTTTGTCCAGCAGTGGACGTCATTCGGCTGAAACGAACGAAATGATTAATCGTCTTGGTTTCTCAATTTACCGTTCCATATTTCCTTCATTCCTCTGTATTCCTTCAACTTCAAAACGATCCAATTTATATCTCAAACACGGACTTTAAAAGAATAATTGAATACCAGCTCGTTCTAAATGTATTCAACGTTTCTGCGAAGTAACATAAAAGTGTAAGACAAGTTATCGAGTTCGAATGTGATTCTCCGTAAAGTAGTTCTTTCTTCCACAACTTATATTAGAGTAGTTCGTTGTAGAACCTTGTGTTAGATATTGTTACTTAGTTCATACTGTATG